ATATTAAGGATTATACTATTTTGGGGTCTATATTGGGGTCCCCTTATTTTGGGAAACTGTCATATAGCTGTTGTGTATAGACTTGAAACATCAGGGTTAGAGCTTCAGGCATGGCAGCGTTCCGGGTCTCCGGAGGCTTGGATTGCAAGTATGTCAAGGTAATGTAGGGGTTCAGATGATGAGAAGAGGGCTTGGCATATGTTGTACTATAGTAGTATAAGTATTATATTGGGATACTTTGGTGGTCATTTAAGCTTCTACTTGCTGCTACCGCAGGAATGATAAGTGAGCCAGCAAGCTCTGGCTATGAGGTCAACAACACCAAGCCCAACACAGAGTCAACTTGAGGCTCTAAGGTCATACAATTTGATACTAAAGGTCCTGCACAACCCCAACATACTGGGATTCCACAAATTCCAAGGTGTGGCTTTTGTACAGGGTTATGCAGGATCTTGAGATCAGCCGTAGTTCAACTGCATGTTGTTCTGTCAAGGCAGCGCTTGCTGGGTTCTGCCACAGGGTTGAGGGGCAGGAGGGGCAAAGGCAAGTGAGATCTGTCCTGAACTCCGGAACCTTGAGCCCTGAAAAGCAGACATGCCCAAATCTTTAGCACTGAAAAGCTAGAGACTGAAGCGCAAAAGCCCCAACTTTGAAGCCATCAACGCGAAGTCCCATGCCATCCATTTTGACGTTCTTCGTTCTTCAGAAAGGAGAGCCACCTGCTCGTGTGACTCCCAGCAATTACAACCCTAAATCCTAAAAACCCTAAACCCCCTAAACCCTAAACCCCTTCGTTTGCCTGAACCCTAAACCCTTAACGGCCATAAAGAAATTCTACAGGCTGTCACCTCGATCAGGCTTGCAGGGCTCTTACAACCTTCAATTCTCAAACCTGAGCCCGGAAGTACTTTCCTACCTAGTCTACATAATCCTTATACAATCCCGTATATGATCCTTATATATAGCCCCTATATAATCCTTATATAGCCCCTAGATAGTCCCCAGATGTAGAACAATGCTTGGCTAAAGTGGGCAAGGCATCCGCTGTCTCAAGATCTCGTTCTTCACCTGGCAAGGTCTGCAGGTCAGGGAGGAATGCGAGGAAACAGGTTCTGCAGGTGATTTTGCAGGGGCTTCAAAGGGACATCAAGGGGCTATAAAGTGATGTCTAGGACAATAAGGGTTATGTGAGCTACGATTGACGTGGGTTCCTTATTAGGGACATTTAGGGACTAAATTAAGGACTACATTAAACTATATACAGGGGGACCCCCATGTCCAGTGTCAAGGATCCTTGTATAAGGCAAATATTGCCAGTAGGTCATATGGGGATCTGGATGTTACCCCAATACTGCAGAAGATACTAATGTCAAAGCATCCATCAGTGGCGTGGATTCTTTGACATTACCCCAGACGAAGCGACTACGAAAGAGGCTCTGGGTATGCCTATGGCCCTACACTTACTGGTTCTTCGTCGGGAATAAGGGTATATAATCCCTATATAATAAACACTCCCAACTAAGAACCAGTAAGTACAGGCGTATACACGACTGTCGGGGACCGCACCAGGTGCGTAGGGAAATAATGGAATGACATGTTCCCTCTCAATCTGGAGGACATGACCGACACCAGGGCTTCCCTCCCTCAAAACATGAGAAAGAAACAAGGTACTCATAAGCAATAATCGGTAATAGCAGGTAGTAGTAGGCTGTAGTAGTGGGTAATAATAGGTAGTACTAGGTAATGATAGGTTAAACAAAAAAGGGAAATCCAAACCATGTTTTGCATATACCAACCATTTTGCCCAAGAACTGCGCCCCAATAATCTAACATCACTAGCCCTTGCCGTTACCCTCCCTCAAACTAACACGAGACCCTGAAAGGGAGCCTTTGCAGACTAGCGCCCTAAACCCGTAGTCCTAAACCCTAAACGCTTACAAAAACTAACATAAATCCCAATATCATCCTCATATAACCCCCGGAAGCCTGATCCCTAAACCCTGAACCTTACGTAAATCCGAAACCCCAAGCCCTAATCCCCAAACCCTATAAACCCTAAACCCCATAGAACCTTTAAGAATCCCCACCTTGAAACCCTAAACTCTATAAACCCTAAACCCTAGTCCCTAGAACTCTTAGGTATCCCCAACCTTTACCCCTCCAATGTCCTGGCCTGCTCGCGGGCCTTGTAGGCCTCGGCCTGGGCCGCTCTCCGCAGCTCCCACCTGGGATTTAAGGATAAAAAGGACTTATTAAGCCTTACCGGTAGGGGCTACTGTAATGTATGGCTGAAAACTAGTTTAGAAGGTTCATGTCAATGATATAAGGCTTTACAAAGTTGCCCCTTTTCAAAGAGGTTGGGCCGTCATGTTTCGGGTTTCTGGTGGTTGCCGAACTGCACCTAAGTTGTGTTGCCTACTTGCAACTGCAGCGTTTACATCTCGATCGGTACTGTCTAGCAGGCAGGAAAGCCACATTCGCTGACGCTCGGCATTGAGCTGATCGATCTTGTCGTCCTGCGGGCGTGTCTATGCATCCACATGCCAATTCACATTCTGTTCCTCCTGCTCCTCCTCTCCACCTCATCTTCTTCCTCCTCCTTGCTCTTGCCATCCGGCACCTCCAATGATCACTAGCACCACCAGCACCACCGACTACTGCCGCTCTGGTTGCTGATCATACTTCAACACAACTCCTCTTAAACAAAAAAGTCGAGTTTTTGTTGTTGCTGGCGCACTTTCTAAAACAGCTTTCAACAGCTCCGTAGACAGTACAAACGCACAGCGAGCACTACTCCCGCGCCAGAGCTTTGAAACTCTCCCTGGTGCAAGCCATTTGCCTGCTCGAAATTCAGCCTTGTTGTACGCTTCTCATACGGCGGGAAGCATTCCCTCTGTAAATGCGGGAGCAGTAGTTCTTTCTGTTCCATGTGTGATGTTGAGACTACCTTCGTCAAAACACACATAATGGTCAAACCTGCAACCCAGAAATGCCCTGGTCATGATCAGAGCATGGACGCTAGCCCCATACCTCTCATATGACCAGCATGAGTAAGAGTGACAGTCCTTCTTGCGGACGGCGTCTGCAATTGACTCCCGTTCATAGTCTTCACGTCTCCTCTGCCGCTCGACATTGATCTCCTGTACATTAGGCGGGTTCCCCAAATTAGGGGTACCTTTTCAGAGGTCCTGGGCCCCCAAAACAAGGATATTGTAATCTTTTGGGGTTCATATTTGAGACCCAACTTGCAGAAGGACTGCCAAAAGACTACCACATGTTTAGTAAGAGCCCATGAGAGTTGAATGTTAGTTGAGTGGGACAGGGCTTGAGTTTTGGGGGGCTATAGCTTCGAAAAGCCTGAGGCATCCTACATGCACTGCAACATCAGAGGCTGGAGAACTTAAACTCAACCTATTTTGACGGTATTCGACCGGGTTATAATAGAGCCTTGACAGTGAACCCTAAACTCAAGAGACCCTTTGGGAACCGAAACTTCATCAGTTGGTAGCTAATGGCTGCTGAAATTCGGCCTGCGCCCTCCCATCATGGAGCAGAAGACGGCCAGTAATAGAGATAATGTAGACCCCTGATTAATAAACCCCCTCCTTTTGAGGGCCTCAATATTGGGATCCCTAAGATAATCCCTATTAAGGGCAGGGGGTCTATTAATTGGGGGTCTACATTAAGGGTTGCGCTGTGGAGGCGGAAACATCGAGATGTGAACCTTGGGCGCATATGGTGGCTTTTGGATCCCGCTATTCTTTTTAGGGTTGGGGTTACCAAGGTATACCATGCGCGCACGGGCCCTCGAGGTGTTGCACACCCATTTGACTCCGAAAGCCTTTCCAGGGCCCTTGAAGCAGGTTGTCTCATGAGGTGTAGAGGGCTCAGCATTGAGGTCGCCGGGTGGTGTTTGCAAAGGTGCGCCTGTCATTTTGTGCATGGAGTAGGAGAAACTCCTCCATTTCGGAAAGATTGTTTCCGAAGCGCAGCGGTCGAAGCGAAAGCACAGGCGCAAAATTTCAGCAGTCCCACAAAGACTCCCTAATCACCCGGGCAAGTTTCATTCCCTTGTCCCTAAGGAAACGAAAAGGGTGCATGGAGGATGCGAAGATGTGTGGGCCCTACCTGTTTTGGGTTACATACCATCTTTGCTACGTCCGGCATCCCAGGGCGGAACCCTAAGCCCTGAACTCCTATGGTGAAGACAGAACATCCTGCATGACCCAACGTTCCGAGTGCCTGGGGAATTATAGGAAATTGGTATACTACAGTCATGCAGGAACTTTAGTATGAACAACCTGTATACATCAAGGATCTCGCGCCCTCTGACCCTAAGCGATCTAGATCCTAAAAACCGGGTATAAGTTATGTTAGTGTACGTAGGTCTGCCCATCAAAGCCCTGTACCCAAACAAACCCCCTGAACCTCTGAAACTCTTAACAGCGAAAGGCAAGTGCTCCTTGTTCTTGGAACGTAGGCCATCCAACTCACGTTTGAAGTCCAAGTATCTCTCCTGTGTAGAATTTAGGCTTTATAGGGTTTCAAAATGCGCGCATCAAATTGCACTACGCTGTTTAGGGTTTAGGGTAGGGCTTCGCGTCACAAGTACACGTAAAACATCAGACGCGCCTAAACGAGCAGCGATTTGGACTCTAAACTGGTTATGGGGCCAGCATATGAGGCACCCTTCAGGCTCTTGCAAGTTCACTGCAACACCATCTGAGGCAGTAGCCAGTCTGCTCCAAGTCATTGAGCTGCAGGGACAATGCTTTCGAAGGGGTCAGCATTCTGCAGACGATGCTAGGGAAGGAGAGGCACAGGATCAAACGCTGAAAGCAAGAAAGTTACAACTCCAGCAGTTGCTATACGCATCCTGACAAGACTTTTGCTACTCTGCCTCCTCTACTTCTAATGCTGCTGATGGTGCTTTCGACTGCTCAACAATACGTGCACTATCGTCTCTACAACTACTCCTATCGCCACCACCACAGCCACCATGAGCACCTTCCCCTCAACCCTAGCCCCTAAACTCCAACGCACAAAATCTACACTCCAAATCCAAAACCGCAGACCACTAACCCCTAAACCCTGCCTAGAAAGCGAGTAGCCCATAATTATAGTCTACTTTCCCCTATGTTCCTACTACTTTGGGTTAGAGAACCCATTATTATGTCGGGTAACTAGCGTGTTCCTCCTACTTTGGGTTACAGTAGCCCATTAATGCGTAACTAGCGTTTCTAGGTGAACACCAACCTATAAGCTTTCGACCACCAAAGACCTAGGCATCAGGCACTGAAGCTACCTACTACCGCTGCCCGCTGCCCAAGGACCATTCTGATGGATGAAACCCTGCCGGTTTAGGGTTTAGGGGGTTAGGACACAAGCATGCACCCTATACCATACTGTCGTTGCACAAAGTCCTAGATGACCTTAAAGGAAAACCTTGAAAGAATTGTGACACATACTATACTATACTATACTATACTATACTCTACTATACTATACTATACTTGGAGTCATGCTATCTCGACTCTAAACCCTCAAGCCAAGACCCCATAAATCCTAAGCCTCAGACCTAAAAAACCCTAAACCACGACCATAAACCGTAAGCCCTAAAACCCATGACCCCTGAGCCCTAGAACCTAGAAGCCAAAAACCATGAACAGTACCATACCCGCAGGTGGCTGTCCTTCTTGGCCTCGTGCTCCATGAGTCGGTACTCGGTCTCCTGGGCGAAATGTGTATAGTGTGAAGCCTAAAGGCAGTTGAGGGAGTACTGTACAGGCCTAAATGACCGCAAGGTTTGTAAGTTTTTTTTTTCGAGAAACCCGTACCACAACTACATATGAAGTCTAGGACCACCACGTTAACGGCTATGTAAGGCTTACAAAAGGGGAAACTACGAACCTGAAATTTCCCCAGACTAAACCGCACACACATGTTTATGTATATATATATATATGTCCACCTGTATACATCAATATATACCTGAGATCCAACACCTGGGCCCCCGTCCTCCTGCTGATCCAAGATGGCCGCCCTCCGCTCCTCCGCTCTTCGCATAGCCTCCTCCTTGATGACCTGACACGCGGTTAAGAGTTTGGGATTTAGGCTTTGGTGTGCTAGGGTTGCGGATTTAGGGCATATGGGCTTGGGGGTTAAAGGAATTAAGCTGTACGGTTGGGTTTGGGGGCTGGATACGCTTTAGGAATAGGGGTTTATAGTGAAGGGTTCACGGCTTTTAAGCTTATAGGTTTCAGGGTCTGAGGACCCTCCAGTTATCAGGAGTTATGCCGCAACGCTAAACAGATCAATCTCCACGTTTTGCTGGGCAATCTGATTTAACTGTAGGGCCCGAAGAAGAATGACGAAGCCTAACAAGATGCGCCATACACCTGACGGTCAGCATATCTTTGGCTAATATAATAATTCATCGTCAGCGGTGGCTTGTGGTTCTAGAAAACTGCACTGTCTTCTTGGCGAGGGGCGACGCGAGTTGACAAGCCCCTTGCAGGTCAATGCTGGTCAACGGTCATGCGCTGATGAATGCATCCGATAACCCTGAATCCTACGTTGAGGGACCAGGGAATTGAGAAAGGGTTTGAACCCCTATGAGCTATAGTCTAAACTCCGAGTATCCCCCATGATAATCCAGATAATGCTTCCCCATATAATCTCCTATATAACCCCCATTTAAGGAGTATGGACTATAGCTATAGCTCCTATAGGCGCAAAGATTGGTGGCCCGGAGTATAGCAGGCCTGCCTTATACAAGCACCTGAATAGATACCAGCATCATGTTGCGGTCTATGAAAGCTACGCCCTATGCCATAGTTCTTGGTATTGGTAACTCTTTCTCTCATATGAAGCCGGTCTCATGGCATCTTCCAGTTTCTTGTCCAAGTGATTCGTCTTGTTAGAAAATGCCTATAATTGGTTGCTACGTGAAGTCTTTAATTCTATAATATACGCCCATATAACCCGTATAAGCCTTCATATATAACGCAGTTATAAGCCATAGCGAAGCAAGTTCCTTGAACTACCATAGCTGTGACTAGTTTCCGGCTGCTGTGTAGAGGGGCTTGGATTTGAGGATGGAAAAGAGGGGCTTGGGCATGGGAGGCAGCACGACCGATTCCCAAGCAAAGAAGACTATCTCCTGGCTTCAAGCACCCCTCATTCGCCCAAACCAACACGGAACTTGAAAAGATAGCTTTTTCAGACCACTGATTGCAAAGTAGCCTATTCAGGGGTTCCATCTCAGCGTGGCAAAGGATTACCTCAACCCAAAAAACCCTGTATCCTAACTCTTGAAGCACTGTTTCTATGTAAAACAGCTTACAAACTGACCCTCTGAATTTTGTGCGGCCGCTGCTCCTGAGTTCAGAAGCTCAAAGAGCATACGTCTCCAGCAATGTAGGGACTAAAATGAAAGCAGGTATCTGGAGGAATCTGAATTATAGTAATAGTTGTACGCCAATGATAATGGGTGATGAGCTTCCTGGTTATACAAGCTTCTAAAGATGCCAAAGCTCTAAACCCGAAGCTCTGAACCCTAAACAGTCCCTAATAGGCCTGACGTTTCATCATAGTCTGGAAGGACCTGTCAGGTCAGGTGCTACCCGTTTGCCCAAGACTCGTAGGCTAGAGGTTCTAGGGTTTTAAGGGTTACCCTCACCTACGGTGCATGGAGGGTGTGAGGTGCATAGGGTGCTTTCACAGTATATGAGCTATAGTCTAAACTCCTAGTATCCCCCTTAACCCCTATAATAGTCCCCTGTACAGTCTCCTATACAGCAACCTTTAAGGAGTCTAGACTATGGCGTATATGTTCAATTTGGGATGTTTCGCGGTGTAAAAGCCCCTCTGAGGAAGCATTCAGTGGGCGGGCTACGTGCACTAAACCGACTGGATATGGGGCACCTCAAAACACGGCCGCTTTCCTGTAATCTCCAGGAGTACCGTAACTTCTGACGTCAAAAATCTTTCAAGGTACCCAAATCCCTGAACCCTTAATCCTAAACCACCTCCGTTTGCGGAACCCTACCCCAAACACATGCTCGGGAAATAACATAGCTGGTGTTGCAAAGCAACTCTCAGACAAGGCGTGAACGATCATTGCGGAGAGTCTCTAAAAGGTCAGCACTAAACCAGATTCTCCGCATCTTAAACCTAGCGCAAGAAAGCCCTAAACCCTCTACCATAAGCCCATCCCGCAAAACGGGCCATGATCTGAGAAACCCCAAAGAATGAAGCATGGAAAGCTCCAACACTGATCCTCTTTTGAACAACAGGAACCAATGCGAAATGAAATGTGACATGCTGCTATACCATGTGTACAAATGTGTATGCATGTATATACAGATGTTTTCATATACGTGCATATATATATACATATATACATACACACACATATACATACACGTGTGTATATATATATATACGTGTAAGCAGTGATATATGTAGATGCGTACCCTGTGCCTCTGTACAAATTATGATTCGGCTTGTTGGGGGTCGGTGTCTCCCTCAGAGCTTTCCCGCCTCTTGGCACTCTCCTCCTGCTTGAGAGCCTTAGCTGTCCAGGCGAAGGAAGGCGCTGAACCCTAAACCCGAAAGCCCGAAACCCTAAACCCTGGGAATCAGGTTCATTCTTAGAATCGAAACCTTGGTTCTTCTTACCACGCACTTCGTAAACTAGTATGCCGTGGGGGGGGCGAATATCATGTAAGAGCTTTAGAACGGGTTGCAAGAAAGCACCCTCCTGACTGCTCAAGAATTCACGGTACCGCACATTAAGTCTGCTTTCGGTTCCCACATGTCGAAATGCAAACTGGAAGAAGAATCCAACGCCACACTCCCGCGGAGAAAACTAGCTGCGAACCTGTAACTCCTCACCCTAGACTGCCAATTCTTGAGTTTCCTGCCAACCTGAAGCATTCATACATCCTAACAGCTAACCTCAGATGCTGAGACCCGAAACTCCGAAACCTTACATATCATAAACCCTTTAACAGCTCTGCATGAGTTTCAGTGAACTCCTAGAATCCCCCGTAACAAAAAATCCTATAATGCTCCCTTTATACTCCCCTATATAGCCCCGGAGTTTTGACTATGGCTATGGCTCACATGAGCCCCGAAAAGATACTGGCTTCATCAGCCCTCGACCCCCAAACCTTACCAACAATACATAAGCTCCAAAAAGACCTTCATGCGTACATGTGAAGATGTCTTGTATGTCCACCCTCAACCATAAAATCGCAAACTTTATGAGTTTATTGACTACTAGCTTGTGGGAAAAGCTATACGCAAACCTGTAGCTTGCCATTCAACAACAGCCCAGTAAGCCCTGAACCCTACTTCTCAACTGAGTAAGCTATAGCGGGATATCTGGGCTTAGTATATGGCTTCTAGTCGTTATATATGTATATATACATACATGTGCTCGGTCTCGCTGACGCTCAAGCGAGGCCTAAAACACGCCCCAAGTGGTTGTGGCCTGCAGCAGCCAAACAATATCCACAGACCTGCAGAAATCTTATCCACCCGAAGCCCCCATTATTTGCCGAGAGATAACCTATCAATTGGGTAGGGGTATTGACAGAAAGGGCAAATTTTATTAACAAAATAACGATTATCCAACTGTTACTCAGTGCGGGCAGTACCCAGCCTCAAAACCACTAATTACATAATCCCAGCTTCCCTGTTCCAGTGTCTTGTCCATTTGCTTCTCCATTCTTGGGAAAATAGCCCGTAACCATAAACCCTACCTGAACCTTAAACCCTAAACCCTGAACCCTTAAACTGCAACCCTAGGCTGTAAGCCCCAACTCCTAAACCGTCAATGTTAAACCCAATCCAAAACCATAGCCCCTGAATCCAAAAACCAAAGCCTGCGACCCGAACTCCGAAAGCCTTGAATCCTAAATCCTGCACCCTAAATCCTATAGCCCTAACACCGAAGCTCTATATCCTACACCTTAACTCTAAATTATCCCTTATAGTCCTAAACTCGAAAACCCTAAACCCTAACTTACCCCACAATCCTAAACCCTAAACTCTAAAACCTATAAGGGGATAACAATGGTAGTTTCCCAAAGTAGGGGGACCCCAATATAGACCCAAGAGTACGATAATCCCCATTATGAGCCTCTGAAATACTTCCGAGGGGCCATGGCTTGCATTAGTCTCTCCTCCCTCGCGGCATCGTCGGCCTGCTTTTTCCTTGCCACACGGCTTAGGGCACATGAGCTAGGTTTTAGGATTTAGGGCTTGGGGTTGAGGAGTTAGTGGTTGGGGTTTGGGGGTTGGGGTTTGGGAGTTGGAATTTAGGGTAACTAATTTAGGGTTTAGAGTGAACGGTTTAGGTGTTTGAGGAAAAGGCTTGGCTAAAGGTGCTTGAAACCTCGTTTCTGGGAAATCTCCACATTCCACCTAAACACGAAGGGGGTTGTAGAGTTGGTAGTTCAAAGGATGGGGGTTGCGAGGAGTCTTGTAGGGACTTGGCGTCGGGCAAGATCGCCAGTTCCTCGTTGGGGAATACTCTGTGACTGCTGGTGTTCATGGTTGCAGCACTGGGGCCGGCTACACTGACCAATACAGGGGTCTCTTGCATTAGAATACTATATTGTGATTCATGGAGTATAAGGGGATAATAAAAGTACTTTCCCAAAATAGGGGGACCCCAATTTAGACCCAAAAATACAATAATCCCCATCAGAAGGTACCCCTAGTTTTGGGAAATCACCAGATATATTTGCTATCTAGGCTTCTACAGTAGCAGGATTCAGCTTGCCAGGCTTCAGGGCTTAGATTTAAGATTCGGGGAGCGGCATGCTTAGAATGACGTGTCCCCCACGAACACTCGACGCAGTATGAAACGTACGGCCTTTGCGTGGGGTATAGTCCCCCTTATGTAGATAGAATACAGGGTTTAGGGCTCAGGGCTATGGTCCCTCTTGAGTAGATAGAATATGGGGCATATGGGGATCTTATTATAATATACCCAAAGCCATATTCCATTTACTTAAGGGGGACTATGCACGTGTACTGGGACACTGGTTGACAGATACAAGCCCATGGAT